TCAAAAAAAAAAAAAAAAAACCACGATGGACAGCACGCCCCAGGGCTGCTGTAGGGGTGGATGGGCAGGTAGGAGAGGGGTCAAGACCCAGAGAAATGGTGGGAGCTGGTGGGGAGAGACAGGAGGAAGGCCTTGTGTGGCCCCAGGTAGGCAGAGTTGGGTCTCACTTCCTCTGGGCATTGGACACAGCAGCCAGCCAACCTCCAAATGCATCCTCCATGGAGGAAGGGAATGAACCATGCTCCTATGAGCTGCCTGGTACCCCAGGGCTGTATCACCTGCCAGACTGCAACCACAAGGCCCAGGGTATACCTGGCAAATTCCTAAGTGCCATGACATAGGACATGGACCCCAGCTACTTTGTTGAGATCCCTAACAGCCCTTTCTTAGTTTCTTTCTTCTTTTTTTTTTTTTTTGAGACAGGGTCTTACTCTGTTGCCCAGGCTACAATGCAGTGGGGAAATCACTGCTCACTGTAGACATAACCTCCTGGGTGTAAGTGATCCTCTTACCTCAGCCTCCTGAATAGCTAGGCAGACACCACCATGCCTGGCTAATTTATTTATTTGTTTGTTTATTTATTTTGTAGGGACAGGGTCACACTATATTGTCTCACACTGGTCTCAAACTCCTGGGCTCAAGTGATCCTCCTTCCTCAGCCTCCCAAAGTGCTGGGATTACAGGTGTGAGCCACAGCACCCAGACTATTAGTTTTCTAGAACTGTGTGATACAGTACCACAGACTCAGCAGCTTGTAACACCACACGTTATCTCATAGTTTCTGTAGCTGTAGTGCCAAACAGAACCAGACAAGACAGACCCCACCTCAGGGCTCAGTACATGGCTGCTGTACCATCTCCTGTGGAAGAGAGTTGTCAAGGTCGGAAGAAATGATGGGAACAAAGCAAGGGCCAGGGAGATACTTTATACCGAAGAAAAGCCTTGCACCTTTGTGCGAGGCCAGGAGACTTGCTCTGGCCTCCCTCATACCAAGAGGCAAATGTGCCCCCCAAAACACAGGAACCTGGAGCTTCCGGTGGTCCCAAGTCCCACTTGCCCCCTTATATATCAGCCACAGAAAGCTGACAGGATCCCCACAAATGACCCAAATAACAGCTCCTGAGAGCCCATTCTCTCTAGGGCAATTTGTAGATTATCCCAACAGCCACACAACAACAGCAGAAAACTGTTCTAGAAAGTCAAAGCTGTTCTGCATTGGGGGAAAATCTAAAGGGGTCAGAGAAGCAGTGAAGGCAGACAGGCCCCCCTTGCTATCAGCTGGCAGCTCCAACTGGCAGCACCTGAGGCCGTGTCTCCAGTATAAAAATAGAAATGCACATCAACAGCCCAGAAATAACCCTGATCACACAACACACAGAGGAGGAAGGAGTCAGCAAAACAGGCATCAAAACAGCTGACAGGCCAGTGTGGCTGGAGGAGCAGCTAGCTAGTCTCCGGGAAAAACTTTTTTTTTTTAAGACAGAGTCTCGCTCTGTTGCCCAGGCTAAAGTACAGTGGCTCAATCTCTGCTCACTGCAACCTCTGCCTCCCAGGTTCAAGTGATTCTCCTGTCTCAGCCTCCCAAGTAGTTGGGATTACAGGTGTGTGCCACCATGCCTG